CCCCGAGAGGCCGCAGGGCCCCCGGGAAGCAGCAGGCCGGCGACACGTCTGTAGGGCTAAAAGGAGAGAGTTGTTGGCTACCGAGGGAGGGAGGAGAAGGTGAAGACCTCCTGCTCTTCAGCGGCAGCTGGGGGAGAGGAGGGGAGGGCAGGGCAGGGGAGGGGAGGGGAGGGGGTCACCGAGGCCAGCAAGGCGCAGGGCAGGAAGGGGGAGCCGCAGGCAAACAGGGCCCTGTCGGCCCAGCCAATTCCTCAAAACTCGTTGCTTAATTTGGGGCTTTCTTAGTCTCCCCTCATTTGTGTGGCTCCGTGTTTCCTTTCTTCGCGCAGAACTGCGGTCTCCCTCTACGTCTCTGCAGCCAGCTTTAAAAGCCTCCTGGAGAGCCTCTCCGCGTTTTACTGCGGCTGCCGTGCACTTCCTCGTGGCTGCCCAGCCGGGGGGACGGCCCTGTTTTGATCGGACGGGACATCCTGTCTCTCCTCCCGCCGGTAACATGAACTGCGAAGCACTAGAGCCGCCACGGCGGAGAGACGCGAGTACGCGGAAGGCGAGGCACCCTCTTCGCGCCCCAAGCGCGGAGCCGAGGTATGCTGTTAGCCACTGCTTTCAAGGGCTTTCCGACAGGCATGAGAAAAGCAGGGGTTTCACAAGGACCTTTAGTGCTTCTGGAAGAAAGGCAGCGCGAAGCTGGCCCCAGCCGTCGCCCCCCATTGCCCAGCTCACCTGCTGCTGGGCCTCCTCCTAGCTCAGCCCACCGCTGCGGGGAGGCAGCGTTTGCCGCACGCTGCCCTTATGAGAGTGAGTAACAGCAACTTCTTTGACTATTTTTAGGTAGCTCTTTCCTCTGTCCTACTCCCAATATGAGCTGATAAGTCGGGGAACCTAGCAAGCGATCCTGGAGCGCGCACGTGCTCGTTGAGGAACTCCCATCTGTTCGTTTCATACGCTCTCCTAAATGAAACTAAACTAGTTTTGGTGTCCCCGTAAGAATTGCCGCATAAGCCAAAGGCTTCCATTGCTGTACAGTTAAGTTAATAGAAAAAGCCGAGCGCCTGACTCTGAGAATCACAGCACAGAATAGCACAGATAGGTTAGAATGCCCCATGTCTCCTTCCTGCACCAAAAAAACCATAAAATGTTTCTTGTTTTGTATTTCCTGTCTTTCTGCTAGTAAAAAAAGGCATTTGCCTTCCCTGCCAAGAAAGAGGTATGTTTTTAGACTGAGTTTAAACACATTGTTGATTCTCATTTCACACAGATCAACCTTTAGGTCTGATCTAACTACGGGACCCAGTGCCAGTCCTGTGAAACCCCTTCTCACTCTCAATTTCCTGAAGACCACAGACATGAATACTTCTTTTATGCATCTAGCTGCAACTTTTGTTCAACACTTACACCCAGAAGCCTGAACGTTGTTGCAGCAGAAGGAAAACTTTGAAGACTAAATGTGTAGCTTGGGACCACCCATGCTTGCCTTGAGAAATAGCACCTTTCTTCTTGTGTAAAGATGAATTTTTTTTAATGAATTGTGTAACTGCAGCTGTTTTTGAAAACGTCAAATAAAATCCTAGCTAGAAAATCAGGCTTTAACTACTGATTTGCTCTTAAAAACTACAATAATTATAAACAAAACCAAACCTACCCATACAACCTATATTTGCTGACATCTGTAACATCCAAGCAAATGATTACTAGAGAAGGCCAGGCAAAGATTTAATTGTAGCTACCTGAAAGATATTACTACCATTAGAAAAAAGACTAAAAAGTGGGTGCTCTGATTTCTTTTAATTCCTAGACTTTCCTACATCCTAAAATGTTATATATTAGTTGCCTCATTTACAACCTGTACGTATTTTGAATATACTTTTTTTTTTTTTTAAAGTACATTATTTACTAACAACCATTCAGCTTCTCTGCAAAACTGATGGGAAAAACCAAACAGGATTTTTCGTTCTCTCTCTCATATATGGTCACTACTAACCAAGTTACAGATCACGCTTGACTTCGTAATGGCATTGACAAGGCTGCTTATTAAATGCTCTAGCATTGCTGATAACCATAAGTTCTAGGTAGCACCACTGTCTCCAGATGTTTCCTGCATTTATTCCTGTTCAAGTCAAATACTGCCCAAATTCAATACACACACATTTCCCAGCAGCTATAACATGATTAATAAACGCACACATGCCACAACATCCATGCAATACTACGTGCTTTCCATTGGATGGCACTGTTATAAGTAAGATCACAATTTTGAAAAGTGGAAATTATGGATAATAAAACCTAGCTTTTTGAAAAACATAAACATAAAGAATGCATTGGAAAGGAGTTCCTGGAATGGCATTTCTGAGCACACATTAACTTTAAATTACTAGCTTGTCTTTATTACTAATAGCATCTATTTAGCTAATAGCACATTTTAAAACGGCTTTAACTAAACTACTGTGGATTTGTCCATGGACTTTTGTTTTGCAGTGGAACTCCAATGTTTACATTACGGAGAATAGTATGACATGGGGAAAAAAGTACATTTGCATCCATGGCGCAAAAGTCTGTTTAGCAACTGTTTTAGGGCAAATTAAAGCTACGTGCATGGACCAGGCTCACGTTTGTACTAGGCTGAAGCTTCAGCCTGGTAGACACCAGGCACTGAAAAAGACACATTCCT